TGATTTTTTCTTTACAAGGAGTTTTGGACAATTTCATTTTTGTGCATCTTGGTATGATTTTATTTAAATGTCTTTGCAAAAGGTTCATTTTTCTTGGAAATGTGGTATTATAAGTTGAACTAAATTTAGAAATTTTAAATCTTTAAAAAATATGCTTGAAGCTATTGTTTGAAGCAAGGTACAATTCCCTTATGATGAATGCTGTCACTATGTATATATAAAATGTACCAATAAAAAAATTCAAGGAAAAAAATAAGCGTAATTACCCAGGATGATCATTAGCCATTGTTTCCAGAGCTCTTTGGAGCAGGATTTTCTGAGGTGCTGATTTTCAGGCTTCTTAGATACTTCTTTTTAATTTTATTTAGTTGTTTTTGAGACAGGAGCACACTTTGTAGTCTAGATTGTCCTTGGACTTACTATGTAGCTCAGGGTGACCTCACATTTATGGCAACGCTTCTGCCTCAGCCTCATGTGTGCTGGGACTGTAGGTGTGCACCACCCCACCCAGCTCCTCCAACCATTTCAGGTCACAGTTCACTGTCTGAGGCTACCTTGGGATAGAGAGCTTGTGGTCTCTCTGATCATCTGTCTGTCAGGGTGGGTGTACAGGAATTCACTGGGACTGCTTCTACAACAGTGGAAATTTCCCCCCACACAAATCCCTTGAAAAAGAAGAGAGAAGGAACGAACAGAGCTGGGTGTGGGGACGACACGCAGCAGGGGGCCAGAGTGAGTGCTTCCTGTGTGCGCACACAGTGCAGATCCTCAGATCCTGTCCTCCACAGTGATGACAGTGGTGCCCACCCACGGGAAAGCGGTGCATATTCAAATGGAAAGTGGCTCAAGGGAGCTGTAGGGGGACCCAAGTGGGAGCACTGAGTGCTCGGTTACCCTGCACAGGTGACTACGTGTGCACTAATCTGAGCCAGCAGTCACACCTCAGGTGTCTGGGATACCCAGCAGAACTCATGTCCCAGTGGCAAAAGGTAAGGGACAGTGAAGGAATGGAGGGAGGTGCTCGGGTTCCCCAGGATCCCTTCCATCTTCATTTTCAGAAGCAGACAGACAGTCACTGATGCCTGCTGTCCTGCAGGGGTTGCGGGGTGGAGCAGACTTCGGTGCCTTTACGTTGCATCCTGGCCCTGAAGCCATTAGCAGTGGCAGGGGGAGAAGTGCTGTATCACTCTCCTGGAATACAGTAGCCCCAAGGAATGGGCTGGGGGCACCGCTCCACAGGTGCTCCATTACGTGTGTGCTGTATTTGTTTTATTTCCTTGTTTGGGATGAGGTAGTGGATGCAGAATTGGGACCTTCACTGAGCTACATTCCCAGACCCTTTTTTATTCTGAGACAATAAGCTGCCCAGGCTGAGCTTGAACTGGTAGACCTTCTTCCTCCGTCTCTCAGAATGCTGGGATTACAGGCAAGTGCCACTATACCTGGCTTGGTGCATTTGCTTAATTGTGGATTTTGTTTGCTCTGGGTTCAAAAATGGAGTTTTGCACAAAATTGTCACCTTTCTTTGGAGTAATGAAATAAAAAGTTGGTATATTTGGGCTGGAGATGGGCCAGGTTAGCTCCTGGACAGAGTGGTGGAAATCCTGAAAGAGGCACTGCGGAGAAATGTCCTGCCGGCTCACCATTCACTCTGTCTTTGTGAAACAGGAGTCCTTACTTGGATATTAATAGTGACTAGTAGTATTAGAAAAACAAATGGTACTAAGTGGCACTATCAGTAATGCTACTATTTGTAATTACCAAGGAGCATGATATCTATTTTGAGGTGGAGAAATGGAGGTTTCAGAAAACAAGGCTTCTGTTCAGAGGCCGCTGAGGGGATTTCTCACCAAACACCAAAAGTGGGAGCTCCTGCCAGATATCTGTGAGGCGGTAGACCAGGAAAGGCGTGAAGATGCCACCGATGTCACACACTGAGGAACAGACAAGCACGCCGAGGTTCCTAAAATGCAGGAGCTCAGTTTGACTTTTGGCTCACCACAGGACAGCAGGTGTCTTCCCCTCCTCCACCCCGCAAAGAAACACTTCCCCAAGCTGGGCCAGAAGATTTATGACTATAACCCCAGCATTCCTGAGTGGCTGAGACAGGATGATCAGAAAGTAGAGCCTGGTCTTGGGAACCCAGTAAGATCCTATCTGAAAATAAAAAATAAAAAATGGGGCTGGGAATGGAGCTCAGTGTGGAAGTCCTGGGTTCGATCCTGGTAATGGAAAATACCAAAACCCCAAACCTTCCTCAAATCGTGAAATTGTTGAAAAACTGAAACATATCACTTACACTATCTTTAGTGAGTGACAATGACATACACACAGAATTCAAAAATGAGTTGGTTGTTCTCATTTTACATAAACTTTCAGGCTTTGGAAAGTGAGAAGTTGTGCTGTCCTCTCCTGTGGCCTGGCCTCTGGGTGACGTTTTTAAGAACCCACACACGCTGCTCCCCTCACTGTCTCGAGGAGTGGCCTGGTGGTCCCACTCCTGCAGTTGCGTGGCCTCGGTTCTCACTGAAGCCTCTACACTGAAAGCATGAAGCGTGAACTCCTGGCCTCAGCTGCTGCCCCTGAGCCTCATCATCTTCTTTCCTACTTGCTTGGAAATTGGGTGCTGTTATGTCTTAGATCGAAAATATCCTCCAAGGTCTCAGATATGGGGAAGGTCATTTATTGAGGGGCGCTGTATTCATCAATGGATTCACCCATCCATGAGTGCGTAGCTGAATGTGCTTTCAGGAGGTGGGGCCTGCGTAGAGGTGCTCACTAGGGGTGGGGCCTGAACTGGTATCATTTTGTCACCGCTCCTCACACTGTCACACCTGTCCCTTCTCTGCTGTGTCCTGTGCTTCCCTGTTCATGCCTTGGGGTCTGCCAACCACAGGCTGCAATTGTCAGAACAGACCTGCCCTACTTTAAATTAGGAGTGCGAGTCTTGTCCCAACAACAGGAAAATAGCTGAGACAGGTGCCTCTGCCTGTCTGTAGTCTGTAGCATAGGGCTACAGGTTCTAGCCCCATAACAAGGGTTCCAACCCCCTCTCCCCATACTCACCTAATGAATGTGGGGTACAGTTCAGCACTGACTAGGCAAACCATTTCGAAAGCCATCGTGATCCCCATCCTGCCTAAGCAGGCAATGGTGATTTTTAGCCAGTGTAGATCTGAGGGAAGAAACACAGCACTGTTACAGGTGGCGCACGGCCTCTCTTCTCCACACTCTCAAGCAGGCTTTTTGCAGAGGAACCCTGTGTTCTGGGATGAGACAGGGAGGCAGAGCGGTGCTGCTACAGACCCAAGGCAACAGCAGCAACCGTTCTGTTTGCTTTGGTCTCCCAGGGGATGCCAAAATGCTGCCTCTCTTTTATTTCAAAAAAATTCGTTTTTTGAAAAGTACTTTTAAAAGCCTATCAAAATCAAGGGGAAAGTATGGTAAATTCTCATTTTCCTCCAGCCCTGACATGTATGCTCCCCACCCACATCATCAGTACAGCTCTCACAGTGGCACATTGGTCACCGTCATGACCCAGCAGTGACATATCACAGTCACCAAAAGCTCACAATTTACATTAGGAGTCACTTTTGGTAGTGGCCATTCTGTGGTTTGGATAAACACACAATGCAGTGTATCCACCAGCATGCAGGATTTGGCTGCCCTCAAAATCCTCTGTTCTCTACCCGCTCTACTCCCCACCAATTCCTATGGAGCACCGATTTTTTCTTGTCTCCATAATTGTGTTTGTAAGCTTCTCCAATTCTTATATCGAATGCTAACATTTTCCAAAGCCAGGGAAACTGTATAGAGGTCACCCCAGAGAAACAGCAACGAAGGACAGAGTTTCAGTCGGTGACATTCAGGGAAGTATTTGGATAAAACCCCACATGGCTAAAAGAATTCCCTTTCATCAGCTTTTCCTCCCTGCCATTGAGAACTGTTTCATGCAGAAAGAATAATTGTTTTCCAGTTTATTTTACAGAATGATGAGCAGAAGTGAAAAGGATTTTCTTCAGAGTTCTACAGTGAGACTGAGTCCACAGCCTGTTCTCCCAAAGCACACGCCTTGTGCTCTCACCTGGCTCTGTGGCCCACAGCTCAGATCTTCACAGCTTCTCTTGTGCTGTCTACTGGGGCACATTTGGGTTGATGTAATAGTTGAAGGTTTGCTTATTCAGCATGATCATAGATAGGACACTGTCTTTCCAAATCATCTAGATGAGCAACTGGTCTTCCTATTAAAAGATCTTGAGATACACCTTCTAAAGGCCTTGGGGACAAGATCCCAGTCTGGCCAGAAACTTACCATCAGGGATGAAAACTGAAGCGAGACAGGCCACCCCTGCTACCATATTTGACACAGCCCAAGGATAACGGCGACCAACACGGTCGATGGTCAGGATGATAATGAAGGCGGCTGGGAATTCAACCAGGGCAGAATAGAAGAAATCCAGGTAGATATTGCCCCCGGCAAGGCCTATGTGCATGATAAGGCCTTGGTAGAGGATAGAGCTTGAGAACCTGAGCAGAGAGGAGAGAGCCAGAGTCAGGTTGAGCACCACACACGTACCACCCAGAGAAAGAGGCTTCTGGGGAACTGGAGTTGGCGGTAGGTGACATTTCCCTGGGACCTCACAGCCACCCTATCACTTTCACACAAGCTGGTCCACTTTGACGGCTGGCTGTGAGCCGAGACCTAGGCACAGGAAGCAGTTGGAAGAGCATTCCCTGGCCAAGCTGAAAGTCAAGAAGATCTTCACAGAGCAATTTGCTCAGTAAAACTCCGACAGGTGGTTAGCGACTGTGAATTGTTGACCGTCTTCTAAAGCGTTGGATCAAATGGATTCACACATAGCCCAAATCTCAGGAAACAGAAAACCAAAGGGGAATCCATGTCTTCCTTAATAATTTTTCTTCTGGCCTGATGCAAACAACATTTTGATGACATCTCTAGTTTTGATATCTAGGACAGTCATTATAGGTGCTGGAGAATACGAGAATGGTCAGGAAGAGTCATGATTTGTGAGAAAAGGGAAGGAGGAGAATGAGGTCAGACTTCTAGGCTGCCTTCTCCATGCAGAAATTATGGTAAGCTTTGCCTTTGTTGTGGACAGCAGTGCTTTGCGTGGCCTGTGGCCTATGTGGAGCTCCCCAAGCTGACGGTGCCTTACCAGCAAGGGCTTGTGGTGAGCACTCTAGGCTCAGACTGACCCCGAGCAGCCAGTGTCGCCCAGCAGAACTCAAGGTGCAGACCATGTAGCCTCTGGGGTACTGTCGATCACCCGTCTACTTTTTTCTCCAGGTACAAATGAAAAGAAAGCCCTTTTCTTGTCAGCTCTGTGCTATTTATTGCAGAGATTTATGCTTATTTTCAGTTAATCTGTACCAATGGTTCTCAAGTTGGGCTATGAGAATCACTAAGAGAATTAAAAAAAAAAAATTTTGTCCAAGCATTTTTCTACCTGTTCATTAACAACTTACTATGTATTAAAATTGGTGTATTGGGCTGGAGAGATAGCTCAGCGGCCTAAGCACCTGCCTAGCGAGCTCAAGGACCTGGTTTCAATTGCTGGTTCTGTATGCCGTGCTGGCCCCATAACCAGGTAAGGTGGCACATGCTTGTAACCCAAGCCCTGGGGAGGCTGAGACAGGAGGATTACTATGAGTCTGACCTCACAGCGAGACCCTGCATCAAAAAATAAAATAAACAAATATAAAAAATATAAGATTGGCCTACTTCTGAACCATTTTTCTGAGATGAATGATTTGTTAAGAAAACATAAGCCAAAAAAAAAGTAACTAAAAATCACAAATAAAGTTCAAAAACCACCAAGAGATGGATTTTTTTAGTGTTTTCTTTTTTAAAAAAATACTGACTTTTGCTATCATTTTTTCATTTTAATTTGATGTTTATCAACTTATTATAGTACTATACACATGTGTTTGTATGTATGTATGTATATGATATATGTATATGAAGAATACAAAGATTTAGTCAAACTATATTTTCCCACTCAATTACAAAAAAGCGTTTTCGAGGATGCAAAAGTGTACAGTTGTTAAATAAGTCATAAATAAAGATTTGTATAAAAAAATTCAAAAAGAATTTTTGGTTACTATTTGGTTACTTTTTTTCCCTTTACTCTTGGTCCATTAAATGAATTTGATCTTCTGGATGGTTAACAACCTAAGTTTGCAGACCAAATTAGAGAAAAAGGAAGGATACAAGGAAAGCCAACATTTTGGCCCTAACCTTCTAAGGTCAATTAAGACTCAGGACATATGAGAACTTGTACTGTAATGTTATGTACCTCGGTAGTGTCCCAAATTTTCTGATCAAGAAGATTATGGGGCCAAAGAGGAAAGTGATCGATGATGTAGAGTGTGCCTAAGGAGAGTCACATGGGGAGAAGACACTCTCTCAGGCTTTCACAGAGAGCACATTGGCCAAGCAATGGCCGTGACTCATCCACATGGCTGCACTGATGAAGGTTCTACAATCTGAGGTACAGGATCTCAGGACAAATCCTGAGGGCATTTCACTGACCTTCTCAGACCAAAAAGCTACAACTCTTGTTGCATAGGTCCTGCTTTACCTTGTTCTTAACCATCCAGTAGAAAAGTATGAAGTCGAAATATAAGAAATAAAGCCATGCTGTTAAGTTGAGCTGTGGGGGACTCAGGTCAATAATTTCTGACATTGCCAGTTAAATATAAGACCCAATGCTATTATAGGCTACTGGACTCTTTTAGAATATTTTGCTGAGTTTACACACCTACAATATTCAATAACGGAACTTAGAAAAAATGGGGTATACCGATGAATGTCCATTTTGTATCTGTGTATTCAAAGAGGTTGGGATAGATATATAGTTGTATTCTCTTAATGAATAGAATGATTTGTTCTAATGGTGTTTGTAAATAGGATCACAAGTCCGCATCTTGTACAGCAATTAACCACTAAGAAGAATATATGCAGTGTATTATTTGTTGAAAAAAAAAAAAACACAAGGAAAAAATAAATAAATAAATGAATTTGATAATCTCCTGTGTGACTCTAAAGAGAAGCTAAGGCCAGAGCACTGTGATGTTCACGTAGGGACTGTGAGCTGGCTTCCGTGTCTGTCTGAGAGACATGTGAGGGAAGTCCATGAGCCACACGCTGCGGCCCTCTGTCAATGCTGAGCCTGGCATGAGGTTGTTTCTAGGTGTCCTTGTTCTGTCCCTTAATGTGGATGCCTGTGAAAAAATACTTTGGAGGGGGTTTAAAGCAACAAACAAACAATGGCTTACCAGTTATACATCAAGATCAAAGTGTGTTTCCTTATCTGAGGGGTTCTGACCAAGTCAAGAAATGAAGGATTCTGCTTCTCACCGACTTCTTCATCTGCTCTCAGACCCTGAGAAAAGACACAGTACAAGTGGCTTTGTCTACGGAATGGTGGTCCCAGGGTCCTATGGAGCACAGCAACAGCACCCCATACTTACCAGCACCTAATATGCTCAGCCCAACACTGAGTTCACCACACACTTGGTCTGATTTCCTTTTCACAAAAAGCCAAGAAGGTAGAACCTAGTTTTTTTTTTTTTTTTTTTTTTTCTACCTCATTTTACAGAAGAGGAACTTGAATATGGAGAGTTTGGGTGACTCATGCCACATATTTAAAGTGGGGTGGCATAAGCTGGTGTCTTTGAGACACAGACACAGGACCCAGAGGGTGAAGTGTGAAGCAACTAGCCCCTCGAACCCCTGCTGATGGACCCATCTCGGCTCAGCAGGCAGGAACTTTAGGCCTGACACCTTGACTTCAGACCAACATGGGCACTTCCCAGAGCTTATTAGGAATACGGTGCATGAATGTAATCCCAGCGCTCAGGGCGCTGAGGCAGAAGGATCCCTGAGAGTTCAAGGTCAGCCTGGGCTACAAAGTGAATTCAAGGCCAACCTGAACTGCATAGCAAGACTGTGTTTGAAAAGGATCCCCTTAGCAATAAAGTAAAATAATAATAATAAAAAAGAATCAGAAGACAGACTAATTGGACTTTGCATTTTCACAAAGTCCCCATGTGACCTTGTGCGTGGGGTCTTGCTCTGGGAGTGTGCAGGCATGAGGTGGTAGAGTTGCAACTCTGCCGCAGGGGATGGTGTGCAAATGAATGGGGCACAAGCAAGGCTGTGGTGAGAGCAAGGTGGAACTTCGGGCCCTTTGGCAAAACCGTGACACACCATGACTGATACCTTAGTCATTCATTGCAAGAATCCAAAACTCAAGAGTTGGAGCCATCCTAAGTCCATAGTGATAAAGTGGATACACTTCAGCCATCCAGAAGCGTGATGAAGTGAACAGAAGGCCTGCGAGTCCAGAACCTTCATCCCAAACTGCGCACACATGGGGTTCTTATAGCTAACCTATTTCAGATCCTCACTCAAAAAAGATTTATTCTTAGCGTCATATAATTTTCTAATAAGTTTCATTTTTTCCCTTTCTAGCCCCTGTCAGACAAAAAGTTCTGAGTTCAAAGTGATGAGATTTACTAAAGGCAAAACAAAAAACCCAGTTTCTTGGTTTTGACACAGTGAACTATTATGACTGACCTGTAAATTCTTTCTTCATTTTTATTTTGGACAGTTTTTGTTGTTATATTCATTTATGTTTGTAAATAATTTTTTTCTATTTGCAATCTATTAAACACACACACACACACACACACACACACACACATACACAAAAGGCCACCGGGAGTAGCTCAATTCTGTTTAAGAAGATAGATGACCTCTTAAACTATTTTGAAGCAATTCTTGTCCAAAACATGTAAAGTGCTAAGAAATTACTTGTTTTCAAGGAACTGTGTTACGGATGTGAACTGACCAGAGGGTGCCGGGCACACAGGCCACAGGCCATGGGCTCTGAAGGACAGTGGCCAGCAGAACTTTGAGTTGTACAGACAGAAGCTCCTTGTCTGATTTTAAAGTGCTTTCTGGTTCTCTTGGAGTTCAATGTTGTTGTTGCTTTGTTTTTTAATGTACTTTGTGCAGGGTCTCACTATGCAGCTTGGACTCATAGTGATCCTCCTGGATTTAGCCTCCCCAGGGATGGGATTACTGGCCTGTGTCACCACAATCAGTCTCCATTGCTGGCTCAGGATGCCCGGCGGGGTGGGGGGGGGCGCAGCATGGCATCCAGCACTGGGGATCAAACTCTGGTCCCTGCGCTTGCCTAAGCAGGTGCTTAGTCCACTGATCTATCTCGCCTGCCCTGAGTTCAGCGTTTAACACATGGGAAAAGTCTTCTCCTAGGAACCACAAATCTTGCATTTATCCCATTTATCTGATCTCCCCACTGGTAGGTCAAGAGGTGGGGTGGAGGTCCTGCCGCTGGCATTGCTGTTGTGCCCTATTTTCCCCACTGCCTTCTCTAGCTGCTCCTTTATTTGGTACCTGAGAGACCCTGGCTCACCTGAAGAGAGGCTGGCATTGGCTTTCCATTTTTCTTAGCGATGTGCTTCATGATCTTCATGGCTTTCCCGGGTTTGTTCTGGGAGATCAACCACCTGGGAGACTCCGGGATGCACCTACAGCACAGTTAGTGAGGGGAAAAGCCTTCCTGAAACCCTTTAACCCCCACAGTTTCATGACGGGGTATCTGTGATGACTGTGCACAATGAGGTTTGGTTAGATCTGCAGAGAGGATAAAAAGTATGTCTGGGACTCGTAGCGCCTGCCTCCCTGCAATCCTGACTTGACTTGGTCTTGTCCAAGAAGCCCTTGGACTCCCTCTGCAGAGGTTTCTAGAGGGAGCAAGCTGTGAAACTGGGAATAGCTGAGCCTCCAGCCATGTGGAGGGAGGAGAAGCAGGTCTGTCATGTGGCCTTCAGGCTTTACAAGGGCAGAAGAAGCCTCAAAGTGGAGGTGGGGTCATTGAAACCATCAAGAAGTTGAAAGCAAGTATATGTAAAGTATTTATAAATGACCACGTATAACAAGACTGGGTCTTGTTGTACATAGCAAGCTGAACTTGAGCTTACGACCAGGTTGGTCTCAAACTCGAAGTAAAGCAATCCTTCTGCCTCAGCCTCCCAAGTGCTGGGATTATAGGCTTGTGCCACCATTCCAGGCCATGAATGTTTGCCTTTAAAAGATTATTACTGTGAAAGACACATAGTCATTGATTGCCCTCAAATATTCCCCCTTGCTTCAAATACACTCATCAGAACATTCTTGCCACTTCCGAAGCAGCTCTGGCAGAGCTCTTTCATGACTTGAGTTGTGCCATCATGGCTGGCTTGATGTTCTGACTTGATCAAAACCTTTACCTTTCATGGATATTTTGACTTTGGTAAAGATTCAGGAATTTCATGATACTTGATGTGGTGGACAAGCGGTGGGACCCATTGTAACGCTTTCACAAGTGGCTTTGCGGTTGGACGCCATTCAGCCTACGGCATTCACCATATTTTTGATCATATCTGGTAAAGATGCTCACAAAAGAAGACTTCCAGAACTGCTTCAGGGAATGGCAGGAAAGATGGGAGCATTGCGTTCAAAGTGAAGGGGACTATATCCCAGGGGGATAAAGGCAGTGACTCTTTTACTATAATAAAGATTTTGTTGGCTAGTTGGTTTTTGTTTTGAGAGACAGGTTCTTTCTATGCAGTCTGGCTGGCTTTGAACTCATTATGTAGCCCAAGCCGGCCTCAGCCTTGCAGCAAAGCGAGTCTCCTGCCTCAATTTCCTAAGTGCTGGGATTACAGGCATGTGCCACAAAGCCCCGAAATAGTTTTAAATTTAAGCATTTATGGTATATTTTGATCCCACCTCATATTTATCATATTTTGCCAATATTTCATTTCCCAAATAAAGAGGTAAGTATTTGAGGTCAGATGGTGCTGGGACATAAAAGCCAGAGAGTGCGATTTGAGCTAGACTCTACCAGTGATCTGGGAGCTCCGGCAAGGTCTCGACTGGGCTCGAAGCCACAGCTCTGGATTGGCAGCACCTGAATAGCCAGGTTGAGAGTAGCAGGAGGTGAAGAGGTGGGAAGAGCTGGCAGGCTGCTCTCACAGCCCCGTGGTGTAAAGGTGGGAAGCCCTGGCTGGGATTCTGGCTTGGGATTGAAGTCACTGAGGGGTGGGCGCTTCTGTAGAGTAACGTGGGGAGATATCCAGGAAAACTACTTGGTTAAGACTCAGAGCCTGATAGGAACATGTTGTGCTCAGCTGCAGCTAAGCCACAACTCATGGGGTGACACTGCAGGGCCATTTTTTCCAGATGACACTTGGTCAGCTTGGCCAACCGACACCTGAGTTGGGCTGGGGCAGCTAAGGAGGAGGACACTTGAGAACCAGGCCTAGGTGGGTAAGAGCCCAACCAGCCTCCAGCTGGGGAATCAGGGTGGACTTTGAGCTGACACAAATCACTAAAGAAATATTTGATATAATAAAACTTCAAATGAATTGTTTGAGAATTAGCAACATTAGGTAAAAACGATAGCAGTAGAAATACTGACTCAATCTGAAGCACTCTTAGTTTAAGCTTTGAGTTTGTTTTGTGGCAAAGTTGCTTGCTTAACAAAACAAAAATTACCCTAGCTCAAGCAAAAGCCAGACAGTCATCTCCCCCAGGGCCTAGCTAGGAGGCTACACCCCAGGGCCCCAGTGCAGTGTCACTTGACCTCAAAGAGCTGACAGCACATTGTGCCAGTTGGATAGTGAAATGACAGGTAAAGAGTTGGGGCCAAGAACTGGTGATGTGAGGGTGACAGAGACAAGTGCACAGCTCACAGGTGTGGAGAGCGCTCCTCCCCACTGCCCAGGCCTGGGTGTGGCCCCAGGAGGCTTTGGGGGCTGTGGACTGACTGGAGGCGCCATCACCTGTGGCCTCCATTCCTGCCACCATGCCTAGAAATTCTTTTTCTCCCCTCAGGGCGGGGCCACCTTGCTCTTCTTTGACCTCAGTTCCTCTTCCTTTGCTCAGCTTTTAAAGCTGCGATTTCTTGGATCCTGGCCCATCTCCTTCCTCTCTTAACTCTATTCCTCTCTTCTGAGTGATCTTATTTGTCCCCACAGCAACAACCAACGCATATGTGCTATTTACTGCAATTCCAGATCCTTAAATTCCACTGGTTTCTGGGTATCTGCATGGGACTTCCCTTGGGTACCTCGACTTTGGTGTGCCCCAAGCTCGGCTCATCCCCATTCCCCCCAACCTGTCCCTCCTTCTGGACACCCAACCAGTGTGCAGACCCTCGGCCTCCACTGGATAGCTCTTCCTTCCAGATCTCCATATGCGGTGTCCCACCAAAGCCCACCCTTGCCAACTGATTATAAATTTATTTAATA